CTTTAAGACAAAATCACTGTATTGATTCCAATTGGTTGATTGTATTGTGAATTGCCATAAGGAGCTAGAGATCATGGCTTGCTCTCTCTGACATTCTGTATTTCTGACATTGTGTTGCTATCTAAGGTTCTCTGTTGTATTTATGCTGTGCTTATACTTTGATATCTTTGTTTACTGTAAATGACAAAGGCAACCGGTAAGAAGACTTTGTAATTGGATATTCTTTGGACTGTAAAACGTATATGACCTGGACTGTTTATTGGACTGTGCTATTTCTTAAAGTAAACTCATGGGGTGGGTTTCTACCGGTTCTGTCCACCTCTGTAGAACCGGTAGCTCTGAAGAGCAGCAGACATAGAACCGGTTCTATGTCTGCTGATGTTTTTGCCCACCTGCCCACCCGGGCTCTTACCTGACCTTTATTTCCTGATTTTTTTCAACTTCAGCTGCCGTGCGATGCACAGCTGCAGTTAAAAAAGGAGGAAAAGGGGGCTTTTTGAAAGGCTGCTTCTCTGCATGCAGCATGCTGATGACGATTTACAGGCACACGCAGGCAGCTGCAGGGAAGCACATCGTAAATCACTGAACCTCGTAAATGACCAAACTGGTAGTTAACCCTGTCGGATCCCACCCCTGAGTAAACTTTTAACTCAATTTAGTGTATCTGTGTGGGGCTGAATTCATAACTACTCTCATAAACGTTTCCATGTGCATATCCTTGTTACTCAAGGGTTATTCTGTACATATCATGACAGTCACCAACCTTTTTCAGCTCCCGTGCTGATAATTCAGCATGCGCTCACATGCCAGTATCCAGAAGGCAATGCGTGCTGGGGGCCCCACACCCCTGCGCATGCGATTCCCCCTCACGCACAGCAAATCTGTGCATGCGCACACGATTCCACCCCTCATGTGCATCTGTGCATACATGTGCAATTCCCCCTCGTGTGCTGCATCTTCACATGCGCATGCAATTCCCCCTTTTGCGCCGTCTCTGCCCACGCGCGCGCACAATCTCCTCACACAGTGCATCCCTGTGCATGCGTGCGCATCTCCTGCGTACCTCCCTCCACCCCCTGTGCATGCATGCCAGATACCTGACAATCAGCTGTCAGGTGGTGGCGCACACATGCATGCACAGTGGGGCTCTTCCGGGCGACCTCTCACGGGAAAAAACATTCCCAAATGAGTGGGAATGACCCAGGGGACCCTGGTCTAGAATACATATTGATTTTGCGGGGCCAGTCAGGGGACACACATTTCTTATTGTAAAGGATGCATACTCTAAATGGCTGGAAGTCAGCATCATGCAATCCACAACAACAGAGGCAGTAATAAGAACCCTAAGGAAACTATTTGCTACACACGGCCTTCCGGATATCTTAGTATCTGACAATGGGCCTCAATTCACAGCCACACAGTTCGAGGGATTCTTAGCACAAAATGGGGTACGACATCCATCTCACGACAAGATCCATCTCATCCTGGGCACCCTTTTTTTAAACTATTACCATCTGGCAGATGGTACAGAATAATAAAAACAAGGACAAATAGGCTGAAAAACAGCTTCTATCCCAGGGCAGTAGCTCTGTTGAATTCTGCTGTATAGTGCAGTGTTGGTGCGGTGTCAGGGGTTTCCGGTTCAATGTGTGGAGGGTGAAGGATGTGTGTCTGTGTTTATTTTCATGGTCATGATGTGCACTGAAGATGGTGTTTGATTTCGTTGTACAAGGTGCAAGGACAATAAAGTAAACTAAAACTAAAAGACATGCCCTCTCAGCGCCTGGTCACACACCCACTAATGGTTTGGCTGAATGCATGGTTCACCACACGAAAGAGACACTTCAGAAATATGTTTGCCAACACGGCCCTAATCAATCCAGACAAATGCTGTCCAATCTCTTCTTAATAACCTCCAGTGAAGGAACACCCCCAATTTCTAGAGGCAAGCTGTTCCACTGATTAATTATTCTCATCGTCAGGAAATTTCTCCTCCGTTCTAGATTGGATAACTCTTTGATGATCTTCCACTTGTTACTTCTTGTCCCGCTCTCAGGTGCTTTGGAGAAGAAGGCAACCTCCACATCACTACAACAGCCCCTCAAATACTGGAAGACAGCTAAGACTACTAGACATAGCTCAGTTGTTCATCTTTGTTGCTCTTCTCGGCACTCTTTCCAGGATGATTAATGATTGAGCCGTGTTTGGAAGAACATTTTGCTGCCCCTGGACAATGCTAGGTCTCACCTCCCATGAGCCATCCGGGAAGCAAAATTAAAGTTGGATCTTATCCTCTTGCCTCATCCTGTTGTGGTTTGCCGGCAGCAGGCGTGAACGGCTGAGATCTCAGAGAGTGAGGACTCAGATGAGGGGCCTGCGTGTGATTCAGGGATGGGACCAGGACCATCAGGGAGTGGAGTGCTGCCTTCGGGGATTGTGGAGGCTGGCAGAAGCGATGAAGAGGTCCCCGAGGAGCCTGTGCCCAGTCCGTGTGCGCGCAGGGCTGCTCAAAGGAAAGAGCAGCTGCAGCAGCATGGGCAACTCAGGAGTAAGGCTGCAAGGTAATGCCCCCTCCCTTAAGGGATAAAAGCCAGCCTGAGAGACTGGGATTCTTTGCAGGAAGCAAAGAAACTCTTGCACTTCAAGCCTTCTGGAAGTTCGGAATATCTTGGTTGGTGTTTGGAGACTCTTTGTGTTTGAAATATTTCTTAGTAACTTTATCTAGTGTTCTTGGCAGCCTTGCACAAATTATCAGAGACAATTAGTTTTAATAGCCTTGTAACTGTGAATGAACGGAATTCGCAGAGAATCTGGCATGCATGGTTTTGCCTTTATCTCTGTTTGGTGTTTGTTTACCTGGAACAAGGTTTGGGTCAGAACACATCCACCATGCATGCCAGACTTGGCATTCTGTGATTTTTCACCTTTTCTCAAATTTTCAAGGAATGACTTTGTTGGACTCGAAGGGGAAAGTCGTAGAGGATGGTCAGGACTAGGCAAGGAATGACGTTTTTCCTGATGGTTTTTCAACATTTATCCACTGCTGGCAAAATGCCCAAGTGTGTCATGAACAAAAACCAATCATGTTTGTTCTCACAGGCAACATGTGAATTGGAATCTCGGGGGGGGGGGTGGAGTAATGTCACCTCACAATGTTATTGTGCAAATTACAAAAACTCACGTCAATTGCATGACATGATTTCTTCCACTTGTGTGATAGATCAAGCATGGAGTCAACATCTGGATGTTCATCCCAAGTGTGCCCTGTTCGTTCAGGGATGAGGTAAAAATTTTCACCCAAACATTAACTCAGCATCTTCGAAAAACTTCACTGCAATGCTAGTTCAGCACCTTTAGAATTATATATAAAACCCTGTAAAAAAATTTTTTGGGGGGAAGGAGAACATTCTTTTAAAGAAAACGGTGACCCAGTATTCCTGCTTAGCTTCAATTATTCTGGTCAAAAACTTTCATTCATAATTAAAATTCTATTTACTGCTTAGGTAAATTCTGCTAATTTGGTAAACAGTTTTAGCTTCCATACAGTTGTGTCAAGGTGCAGGTGAGTTATTGTTTGCTTCTTTTTTTTATCCTGCCTTGATTATTTTTATAAAGAACCCAAGGCACAAACATACCAAATATTCCTTCCTCCTCCTCATTTGTACGCAACAACAATCTTTTGAATTGGGTTGGGCTAAGAAAGAGGGATTGGTCCAAAATCAGCCAGACTGCTTGTGTGTGCCTAAGGCAGGACTAGAACTCGCCGTCTCCTGGTGATTGGCCCAAAGTCACCCAGCTGGCTTTCGTACCTAAGACGGGACTAGAACTCACTGTCCCCTGGTGATTGGCCCAAAGTCACCCAGTTGGCTTTCATGCCTAAGGAGGGACTAGAACTCCCAGTCTCCTGGTTTCTAGACTGATGCTTTAACCGTTAAACCAATAATTACTGTTAATGAATTCCCTTCTGTTATTTTATAGGGTTTTTTATATTGAAATACAAGAATATATCAGCAATCGGCGCTCTTTCCTTTTTACAATAAACATGTATACCAGGTGTGCATAAGTCCAATCAAGACTTTTTAAAAAAAAAAAAAAACAAGCAAAGATGTGTCCAGGCTGAATTTCTGATCAACCCAGAGGTGGATATCCAGCAATGGTGCTGAGCCCTTTGTCTCAAAGTAACAGCTTGGAAATCCACCGTTTGCAACTGGCAGCTCTTTCTGGAGAATGCCCATAACATGCCCTCAAAATTCAAATGTGCGCCCTATTTTTTTTTTTTTTGAACAAATGTTGATTGTTCCTGTCACCTACTCTTCAGACTTAGAATAGAATAACAGAGTTGGAAGGGACCTTGGAGGTCTTCTAGTCCATTCCCCTGCTTAGACAGAACACCCTACACCATTTCAGACAAGTGGTTGTCCAGTCTCTTCTTAAATGCCTCCAGCGATGGAGCATCCCACAACCTCTGAAGAGGAGCTGTTTCACAGGTTGATTGTTCTAACTCTCAAGAAATTCCTCCTTAGTTCTAGGTTGCTTCTCTCCTTGATTAGTTTCCAGCTATTGCTTCTTGTCCTGACTTTCAGGTGCGTTGGAGAATAGCTTGACCCCTTCCTCCTCTCTGTGGCAGCCCCTCAAATATTGGGACCCTGCTATCCTGTCACCCCTTCATCAAACTAGACATACCCAATTCCAGCAACCATTCTTGATACAAAGCTCATTCCTTTTTATGGGGGTTAAGAAACACCCGGAGCTTATTACAAAGGCTTAGGTTACATCCGGGATGCCACGTGTTGGTGATTAAACAAGCTTTTACTCATTCCCCTATTCCACCTCCATCCCATAGCACACATGATTCTCTTGAGGGCTAGTCCCTTGGATATGCCAGCAGCATTTGAAGCAGCTTATGAAGAATGGGCAAATTAGAAGGAAATTAGGCCCACGCCGTGCACAGATATAAATCTCTGTTTATAAGAACTTTGTTCCCTCTAAGGTTGTTGTTGTTTTTTTAAGCACAAGTTATTTGCATACCGTGTCAGATACAAAGACAGTTTCATCGTTTGAGCAGTTTAAAAAATAAAGTGATATGGTCCTGTTTTGTAAGGTCCTCAGTAAGAGCTCGGAAAAGCGGGGGAATCGAAGTGTCGAAATGCCGCGGACGTGGGGATTCACACATCCCTCGCGCACAGGGGTCTCAAACGTGGTGCGGGCTCTCAGACATGACAAGTCCCCGAGGGTCCATGGGTTGAGGGGGGCTACAGCTTTGTATTCCGATGGTAGGACGGGACATGGGCAGAAGCGTAGGTCGGCTGGCTGTGCCATGTCGAGACCGGGTACAACCGGTGGCGTAGTGCGCTGTCGTAAGAAGTGGGGTAGTGGACGAGGCTCGTGCCCAGAGACTGGCCCAGATCCGACGCTTGGACGGAGGCAGTTAATAGCGGGGTTGGGAAGGCGGGGATAATAAACGGGTTGATGGAGAGAGACTGGATCAGCGAAGGGCCCTGTTCCTTGAGATGTTCTCCTGGGCCGCTAAAGTTAACGGGCAACCTCAGCATGGTGCCCTTGTACATGTTCTGGAGATGAGGCATGGGAGCTACTGGAAATCTGGACCCTGCCACCGTGGCCTTCGGCTTCGCTATCCCCGGCTGCCCGCCGGGGGACATCCCTCGATCCAGGCTACTGTTTGGGTCTACCTCCTTGATGAAGGGGGACACTGCCTTGAGCTTCTTGCCATGCAGGAAATAGTCCTCCTCTGAAGCTCTTTTCTTCTGCCCGGAGATACTCGCCTGACCTGGAGACACAGGTGGCCCTCCGTTCTTGGAGACCTGTGGGCTGACCTTCGCCAGGTTGACCACAGGTGGGACCCAGGAAGCTTTGACCGCTTGAAATGGGGGAGACCCTGCCTTGGTGCTCAGGGCACTTGCCTTTAAGGCAGAAGATTGCTGATGGTCTGCTTTCCATGGTGGACCTGACTTCCTACGGAGGTCTTCAGGTTGGTCTTCCAAGCTCTCCTGCTTCTTCTGAGACCCAGCTGCTCCCAGGGCATCTTTTCCAGGCTTAGCATAGGCTGGAGAAGTCACGGGGAGATCCTTCAAGCTGGAATAATATTCCACCGGTCCTCGAAGGCCGCTGACAGGTTTCAAGACGGTGCTGCTGGTGGCGTGGAAGTAGCCACAGAAGACAGGTGGCCCAGTAGACAGGTGAGCACCAGAGCTTTCCTCCTCTGCTTTCATGGACCCTGGGCCCTCCTTGAAACTTGGAGGAGCTTTCATCAAACCTTCATTGGCTTTCCCAACCTGGGAAAAACCTGGAGATCTGCTGGAACCATTCCCCTCTGCTCCTGTCTTTGGGGCCTCTTTCTGCAGATGACCAACCTCAGAGTCCAAGCCCGGTACTTCCCGGACCCTGATCTTCTTGTATTCGGGACAGTGGCTGAGATGCTTCTTCTCATGAGCGTACAAGCATTCGTCCTGGCTCACCTGCGCCAGCAGTTTCTTCTTCGCCAAGGGAGACATGATGCCATTGTTCCCCTTGAAGTAGAAGCTAGAGAAGAGCCGGGTGTAAGCCTCGGAGCAACCATGGGATCGACAGTTTCCAAGGCAGCTGGTGGTGGGCTGAGTCTCATCCATCTCTCGGCTGTTGGGTAGGGAGAGGCGTCCCTCGGTTTGCTCCCGGTAGTGATTCGGCTCCGTCCCATTGGGAGGTTTGGGGACCAAAGCAACATCCGGCCTCACTTTCTCCGGCAAACTCTGCAATGAAAGGAGAATGTTTAATCGACAAGGGGTGACGAGATGGAGTGTTCTGTATGTGTCCTGTAATAAACATCTCCAGAGACGGTCAGTTCTCCAGGTCATGATTATCCCAAAGGTGCTTTTTCAGGAGGCAACTGGACTTTCTGGGTTTTTTCCTTAGAAGACGTTTTACTTCTCATCCAAGAAGCTTCTTTGGCTCTGGATGGATGGTGGGGAAGAGAAGGATTGATACTTCTTGCAGACAGCTCTGGTCATTTGCATCCTATTAGAGAGTCATTGAGGCTACTTGGAGGTTTATCTTTGTCTTCAGGGTCACCTAAGTGGTGCTCCTGGTTCCTGTAGACTGCAATCTTTTCCTCTGGAAATCCATTCCTACTCCCAGATCATTCCAAGGGTGCTCATCCCAAATTGTATAGCTAAAAGTCTGACTCAGATGACCCTGAGGACACAGATAAACCTCCAAGTGCTTCAATGACCCTCTCAAAGGATGCAAATGACCAGCTGTCTGCAAGGAGTATAAATCCTTCCATTCCCCACCAGTCAGCCAGAGATGATTAGATGAGAAGCGAAAAGTCTTCAAAAAGAAAAAAACTAGAAAGTCCAGTTGCCTCCTGAAAAAGCACCTTTGGGACATTCTGTAATAAAGGTTTTTGTCTTAAGCTTCATATTAAAGTTGAAATAATACAAAATATCAGTAGCCCGGGCTTTTGGTTTTGGCCATGGTTTGTTCTCCAAGCCTGTTTCAATTTAGTTTCTGAACGTTTTGTTACCAGCATCAGCATCAGCAAAAATCCCTGATCTCAAACCACACAGATAATGAACAATCCCAGTTTGATTGGGAAGGAACAAAAATCATTGGCCATGATTGGCACCCGCCGTGCACGGGAATTTGTTGAGGTATTCTACCAAATTAACAAACATACTGACCTAAGATCCAGCATATGAACATATAAGAAACCAGACTATTCGAACAACCAATCAACAAAAGAACCAATCAGCTGCTCAGAATGTAAATACAGCTCCCAACAAACAAACAATCAAACGACCAAACTGGCACACAAGACGTTTATAAGCTGAGGAGAATAGGACAAGACAATCCTATTGATGACGTTACCTAGTCTGGTAACGAAATGTTCAGAAACTGAATTGAAAGAAGCTTTAACAGAGTTGGAAGGGACCTTGTAGGACATCTAGTCCAACCACCCGACCAAGCAAGAGACCCTACACCATCTCTCACAGTCTCTTCTTGAAAGCCTCCAGGGATGAAGCTCCCACAACTTCTGAAATCAACTTCTGTTCCATGGGTTGATTGTTCTCACTGCCAGAAAATTCCTCCTTATTTCCAGGTTGAATCTCGCCTGGTTCAGCTTCCATCCATTGTTCCTTATCTGGTCTTCAGGTGCTTTAGAAAATAGCATGACCCCTTCCTCCTCCTCTCTGTGGCAGCCCCTCAAATACTGGAAGGCTGCTCTCCTGTCTCCCCTGGTCCTTCTCTTCCCTAGATAGCCAGGCCCAGTTCCTGCAACTGTTCGTCGTATGTTTTAGCCTCCAGTCCCCTCATCATCCTGGTTGCTCTTCTCTGCACTTTTTCTAGAGTCTCAACATCTTTTTTATAGTGTGGTGACCAAAACTGGGTTGCAGTATTCCAGGTGTGATCTTACTAAGTCTTACATATTAAAGTTTCCACCAAATCGTTATTCATTATTGGTTGTACATATTAAAGAAAGAAATCCCTTGGCCCTTTATCACATCAATTCATAATCATTGTGGATACATTGCAGGAGAGTCAAAAAAGAGTCAAAAAAGTCAAGATGATGGGCATGCAATGAAGCCTTAACTTTTTTTAATGTGCACACAAACAGTCAAGGTTTCGTGGTGAACCCTATCTTAACTGCTTTGACACCCTCCTGGCTGCCCGCCTCTGGGGAACACATGATGGTAGTAGATGTGTTGCAGGAAAACAACCTTTGATGGGGGAAAAATACACCCTCCTTACCGGATCTCTCATCTTCTCTTTCTTCGTCTTCTTCTTCTCTGCCACGCGATCCCCCTTCGGCTCCTTCGAGATCTTGTACTGTTTTCGAGGCTTGACTGGGGGCAACGGCTTGTCATCCTCCCCTTTCAAGTGTCGGACATACGGGAGGACCAGCCTGTAAAGCAGATGTTGGGGAGAAGGAGAAATTATGGTCGTGCTCCAGGTGTGTTCTAGCAACAGGGGTACAAGAATACATCAATCAATGCCATTTCCCTCCCCCTCCTCTAAAAATGCACATCTATAGGATTTAATGAAGACCTTGCTGGTTGTGGAAAGGACGAAGGATCTGTAATGGTCTGTGGGAATGGCCTTGGGGGACAGGAAGAAGAGACACAGACTAGAAAACAGAGAAGGGGGAATGTCATGCCCCTGTCGGAGGAAGACAAACAGCCGACAGGGAGCGGGAGTGTGGCTCAGTTGGCTGTGGAGGAAACTACGGAAGGGCAAAGTCCAGCTGAGCAGTGCAAAAGAGAGGTAGAACAATGGAGAGGGAGTTCAGAGGAAGACCCAGGCCCACCCCCTCTTCATCCTAGGGCATGCAGGGAGGAATGGAGAAGGGAGCAATGTGGCTTACGGGAGAGGAAAGGGCCCTGATTCCCTTCATTAGGCACACCTGGGAAGAGAGTTTAAAAGAGATGCAAGCTGAGAGCGGCATCTTCTGGGAACAAACATGAGTTTATCTTATGTTGACTTTGGTTATCTGCCTTCCTGGTATCCTTGCAACAGGGTTGAATTACTGCCATTCCTTCAGATTTTGGACTTGAATCTCTGCAGCCAGAGGCTCTTCCTGGGACAGTTTTCCTCCAGCTCAGGTCATTGGGGGCAAACTTGGAGCAAATAAAGGGACTCCTACTTATTATTTGACTGTATTGCCTTTGTGTGACGCCCCTTTGGGTCATCACAGGGAAGCTGAGTCTGCAGAAGGAATCGGGATGTGGCAAACATCTTAGAAGGGACCTTCTCTAGCTTCTTGGATGTCCAGGTGGGGGGCGGGTGGGGGAGAGAGATGTTCAGACGTACAAGATTGTGTTAATGCAACCTTACAATAAAGTTACAGCTAATACTTGTTGGTGTGCTTCTTGTCTGGTCTACCTCCCATCTGATAACATCTGCAGCTTTACAAATCACAAATCTTGCGCCTGACTAGCGCCCCTTCCTCCCTCTTGTAAAATAAAGGGGGGTGGGGAGCAATTTCTGAGCAATACCTCTCGTAATGTCGCCGGGTGCAAGTGGCAGCACTGGTACTACCCGGGCTGCCTCCCAACATGTCGTAAACGTTTTTCCAAAGACGTCTTCCCGTCACCTGAAAGAGAGGTAAAATAAAGCCTTTCTCAGGTTCTTTTTCAACTTTTGTTAGTCTGGACTCCTGGGCTTTCCTAGTGGTCTCCTTTTCAAGTCCTAGCCAGATCCCAATGCCAATCGGGTTTTTGGATCAGCCATAGCCAAGGAGGTACCGGTCATTTGTGGAGGTTCTTCTCCTTCAGCCAAGCTTGACTCCCTGAGACCTCATGGATATGTCAATGGATTTTACTTTAACATGTAGAACGGTGGCCACACCCACACCCAGTTTAGCGATGGGGGGAAAGTCCCGATACGTCATGTGACACCACCGTGACAACATGAGTTTGACACCCTTGACCAGGGGTCTTCAAACTTGACAGCTTTAAGACTTTGTGGACTTCCACTCCCAGAATTCCTCCTCCTGTCATGTTAGCTCAGGAATTCTGGGAGTTGAAAGTCCACAAGTCTTAAACTTGTCAAGTTTGAAGACTCTTGTTCTAGTCCAACCCCTTACTCAAGCAGGAGACCTTATCCCATTCTGGACAAATGGCTGACTGGTCTCTTCTTGATGGAGCACCCACAACTTCTGGAGGCAAGTTGTTACTCCACTGATTAAATTGTTCACACTGTCAGGGAATTGCTCCTTATTTCTAGGTTGGATCCCTCCTTCCTAAACTTTCACCTGTTGCTTCTTGTCCTGCCTTCAGGTGCTTTGGGGAATAGATTGACCCCACTCCCCTCTGTGGCAGCCCCTCAAATATTAGAAGACTGCTATCAGGTCATCCTTGGTCCTTTTCAATAGGCTGGATATACCCCAATTCCTGTAACCGTTCATCGTTCAACCGTTCACCATCGTAGCTTTCAAACCCCTTATCACCTTTGTTGCTCTGTGTTCCATTTCTTTTGGAATGTTTTAATCTACAACCTGGTTTTTTTTGAGGTCTTTAAGATTTAAACCTCACATTTAAACCTACGATTTAACCATGTTGAGAGGATATTTCCAGATCAACGAAGGTCAGAATTAAAGTAGCAGAACTCCAAGTCTGGGGACCTGAGTTTCATTTTTCGGGGACTCTTGTAACTTTGAACGGTCAGTAAGCAACCAGCCATAAGTCCAGGACTAACTCTAATTAAGAATTCTGTCTTGTTCTGCCAAGAAATCCTCAAGACATTTCACACACACACACACACACACACCCATTTTTCCAAGTAGTGAATTTGATTTTCTCTTTCTTACCAGTTCGTAAGCTCCGAGTTTTTCCACAGCTTTGTAGATTTTAAACAGATTAACTATTAAAAAGAAAAGGGAGAGAGAGAAACATCAGATAACAACCAAAACTCAGAGAGGTAAGAGATAATGTATAAGTAAAGGTAAAGATTCCCCTCCTTGCACATCTGTGCTAGTCGTTTCTGGCTCTAGGCGGGCGGTGCTCATCTCCGTGACAAAGCCAAAGAAGAGCCAGCGCTGTCCGAAGACGTCTCCGTGGTCATGTGGCTGGCATGACTAAACGCCGAAAGCGCACAGAACGCTGTTACCTTCTTCCCACCAAAGTGCTCCCTATTTTTCTACTTGCATTTTTTTTTTATGTGCTTTCGAACTGCTTGATTGGCAGAAGCTGGGACAAGTAATGGGAGCTCACTCCGTTACACGGCGCTAGGGATTCGAACCACCGAACTGCCGACCATTCTGATCGACAAGCTCAGTGTCCTTAGCCACTGAGCCACCACGTCCCTAATGTACGGCTTGGGCTAAAACGAATTTTAAATTGTGAACTGCCCTGCCTTCTGAACCCCAAATGCAGCCACAGCCACGTTGAGTTTGTGTGATACAACAGGTTGCTGGAAGAAAGTACAAGAGAAACAGGGATGCACATGGATCACACACACACACACACACACACACACACACACACTTTTGGAAAAGTCAGCCAAGAACATACTTTGCTTGAAACCCAGATGAGGCACCCTCTCGATTGGCGTGTGACGCTCTTTCATGAACTTGTAGAGGTTGACCAGAAAAATCTGTTCCTCTTCTTTCTCACCACTCAACATCTCCTCGTCTCCCGAATCCTCTTCGGGAGGCTTCTGCTCAGCTTCAGAGGGGGCATCCTGCTTGTCAGATGGAGATACCTGAGTGAAAAAGAATAGGAAGTCAGAGGCAATTTGTTTACCGACCACAACAGAGTGTCAGGATTCCCCCCCCCCCCCCCCCCCCCCATTTAAATCATGAGTCTCGAGCCAAACTTTCAAAACTTCCAAAGGATTTATTGGGAGTTATCATGTCCAGCACTGCCTGGGTGTAGCCGACTCTGAGACACTTAATTCATTGTCACCCTTGACCCTGCGTTTCCTCCCATCCCCTGGGTGTATTGTAATTCATATTCTCCAATGGGACACATCCATAGCCAAGAATCATGCTCTCCAGTTAGAATTTTGCAAGGCAGAAACTTTGGTCACCTAGTTACTATCTTTGAAAACATTGATGGAATGCAAGCTGCCTACTGCTCCTCCCTCCCTTTCTGTTGGCAACTCTAAAAAGACCAGAGAAATATTTTATGAGTTGACACAGAGAAGACAAGAAAGGACAGTGAGAAGTTGAGGAAGCTCAGCAGCATCTCATCTCCCCTTGGCACCACAACGCAATGAATGGAGCCTCTAGTAAGATTCACCAACCTCAAGAATGCTAATCTGCAGGTCAAATTTACCTGAGCAGGATTACAGAGGTATTATCTAGCCCATAAGCATTCTATCCTTACTTAACAAATCACCTGTGATATGTTAAAACTATTATATTAAGAGACACCCAAGTTTCAAATGTCAGACAAGCCCCATAGGGAGGATTATAGTCCAAAAATCATTTCCCTCTTAAACTAAATTCTATGTCAGATTTATTTTTTAAAAATGAGGTTATTTCAGACATCCTGGCATATTCCCAGAATTTCATTGGTCATTTTTCTGCTGAAAGAAATTACACATTCTACTTTCCAATGCAAAGCACAAAGTATCCTAACAGCTGTTATAATATATAAAGCAAGTTTGCTACACTTTGTAGAAATATAATGCTTAGAAATATTTAATAGAAAGATGACAAGATGGAAAAGTAATTATAAAGCAGTTCTTTTTCCCCAAAAAAATTATTGGGTGTTACCATATTGCCATCAGGGAAAGAAGAATGAGCCAATCTAATAATTGCATTTCCAAGATATTTTAGAAAACGAATTATCAATTTAGCAGTCAGTACTGGAGTTATATACTGTGGCGTGGGTAAAAAAAAATCCATTGTCTAAGCGTGATATCCATGTAAATCTAATTATTTTCCTTTGCTTGAAATACTCATGGTTGCAGGTCAATTGTTCTGCATAAATCCTATATTCTAATTATTCATTCAGCCTTTAACTTGCTTCGTTTGCAAATCATATTTCACCGGCAAATGAAATATAAATAATTGTTCTGACCCAAACCTTGTTCCAAGGAAACAAACACGAAACAAAGGTAACAGAAAAACCTTTTAATGATTCTTTACGAATTCTGTTCCTTCCCGGTTAAAAGGCTGCTTCAAACTCATTGTCTCTGATAAAAAAAAGAGCCTTGCCAAGCTGGTGCAAGGCTGCCAAGAACACTAGATAAAGTTGCTAAGAAATATTTCAAACACAAAAAGTCCCCAAACACCAACCCAGATATTCCGAACATCCACAAGGCTTGAGTGCAAAAACTTCTTTGCTTCCTGCAAAGAACTCCAGTTTCTCAGCTGGTTTTTATCTTTTAAGGGAGGGGCCATTACCTTGCAGCCTTGCTCCCGAGTCGCCCGGGCTGCTGCAGCTGCTTTTTCCTTCGAGCAGCCCTGCGCGCATGCACACTGGGCACAGGCTCCTCGGGGGCCTCTTCCTCACTGCTGCCAGCCTCCACAAGCTCCGAAGGCAGCACTCCACTCCCTGATGGTCCTGGCCCCATCCCTGCATCCCACGCAGGCCCCTCATCCGAGTCCTCGCTCTCTGAGACCTCAGCCGTTCACACCTGCTGCCAGCGAACCACAACAATAATGCTAAATAAGCAGGCTGAGGTTTGTATAATACAGAGGGTCCTTGACTTACGAATTGAGCCCAAAATTTCTGTTGCTAACAGAAACAGTTAAGTGAGTTTTGTTCCATTTTATGACCTTCCTTGCCACCGCATGTTAAATGAATCACTGCAGCTGTTAAGTTGGTAACATGGTCGTTAAACAAATCTGGTTTCCCCGTTGATTTTGCTTGTCCAAAGGTCGCAAAAGGGGATATCGTGACCCCCAGGGCCATGGCAACCGTCATAAATACGAGTCAGTTTGCCAAACCTCTGAATTCTGATCGCGTAACCACGGGGATACAGTTATCAGTATGAAAAAAAATCACTTTTTCCAGTGACGTCATAACTTTGAATCAACTGTTGTAAGCCGAGGACTATCGGTGAGGCCTACAAATTCAATCAAATCTCTTAACTGTTCCATCTTCTTTTTTGCAAAATTCTTTTAGAATAATATTGCCTTTTTTTTTTCTTTTTAAAAAGGACTGGAACGAGTCAGGAGGTTTTGATTATTTGGAAGAGGGAATTGCAGAAGATGTTCATCTTAAATCTCATTTGCAATTTAAACTTGCAAGCCTGCCTGATTTATTGTTTTTCCACTGTCCAAATTCCTTTGCACTTTCGTCTTCGTGGAAGCCAATATTAGTCATGGAGCAATAGTAAAAAAAACCAGAATATCTTCCTTGTCATTCAGGAGACCTGGAGAGCTTCAATGGATAATCCTCTTCAGGCTTTTTGGAGTTCCCAAGAGCCTTGGATGAAACTTATTCCAACGAAGGAAAGTGAGAGACTGGACTATGGAGAAACAGAAATTCCAGATTCAAAGCTGAATAATATCTTAATTAGGGCCAACGAATGTTGTACAAAACAGTGGGTGGGAACGAACAACTTTTGATGAATTGCATTTTTTAAAAAAAAAAATTGTTCTGGAGGAAGACTTACAGGAAGTCAAGTAAAGATGCAAAGTGAGGTCAACTGAGGTTTCAGCTAAGCTGTAGGGCAGGCCTCAAAGAAGCTAGATTGGTGGGTTGTTGTTTTTTCAATTTCCCATTTAAAAATTGAGGGGAACCATATCACATTTTTTGGGGGGGGGCTGGGACGGGAGGATAGGGGGGCAGGAATCTGCAATCTGGTTGGGGACAGGAGTCCCTGGAAAAGGACCAGAAATCTGCTTCATGTCAAGTTTAAGACTGGGAACTAGCGGCCTGTCAGGCAACATGTTTTGCAAAATGCAAAATACATTTCCATAAAACACGGGCTTTCCGCTGAAAAGGACTGACGTCGTAGAACACAGAACCCTAGGATTGGGGGGGGACCTTGGAGGTCTTCCAGTCTAACCCCAACACTCAAGCAGGAGATCCTATACTATTTTACGCAAAGGGTTCTCCAGCCCCTTCTTTCTATTATCTGAACTTCGGAGCCTTCCTCAATAATCAAGGACGTAGGATGTCCTCGGGATGAAGCCTACTGTCAGGCTGATTTAGCATGAGACGTGGTGGCGCACTGGTTAGACTGCAGTACTGCATGCTGCTTCTGCTGGCTGCCTGCAATTTGGCAGTTCGAGTCTCACCGGGCTCCAAGGTTGACTCAGCCTTCTGTCCTTCCAAGGTGGGTAAAATGAGGACCCAGATTGTTGGGGGCAAGAAGGCTGTAAAAGCACTATAAAGCGGTATATAAGTCTAAGTGCTATTGTTCTTCCTTCCTTCCTTCCTTCCTTCCTTCCTTCCTTCCTTCCTGCCAAGCTCAAGGTTGACTCAGCCTTCCATCCTTCCAAGGTGGGTAAAATGAGGACCCAGATTGTTGGGGGCAAGAGGCTGACTCTGTAAAGCGCTTAGAGAAGGCTGTAAAAGCACTATAAAGCGGTATATAAGTCTAAGTGCTATTGCTCTTCCTTCCTTTCCTTTCCTTTCCTTTCCTTCTTTCCTTTCCTTTCCTTTCCTTTCCTTTCCTTTCCTTTCCTTTCCTTTCCTTTCCTTTCCTTTCCTTCCTTCCTTCCTTCCTTCCTGTTAGAATGTAGTATTACAGGCTAATTCTGCCAACTGCCAGGAGTTCAATCCTGACCGGCTCATGGTTGACTCAGCCTTCCATCCTTCCAAGGTGGGTCAAATGAGGACCCAGATTGTTGGGGGCAAGAGGCTGACTGTAAACCGCTTAGAGAGGGCTGGAAAGCACTGTGAAGCGGTATATAAGTGCTATTGCTTGGGAAGGGAAGGGAAGGGAAGAGAAGGGAAGGGAAGAGAGGGGAGGGGAGGAAGGAAGGAAAACAAGGAGAAAGAAGGAAGCCATGTTGGTGCAGTGGTTAGAATGTAGTATTGCGAGCTAATTCTGCCCACAGCCAGGAGTTTGATCCTGACCAGCTCAAGGTTGACTCAGCCTTCCGTCCTTCCGAGGTGGGTCAAATGAGGACCCAGATTGTTGGGGAGCAAGAGGCTGACTCTATAAACCGCTCAGAGAGGGCTGTTGAGCACTGTAAAGCGCTATATAAGTCTAAGTGCTATTGCTATTTCAGAATTTTCTGAGCCCCAAAACCCCCGAGAGAAAGGCTGATGAGCGAAGTTGGGACAGCCTTCATACCCTATCGGATTCTTTGCCGTACTCCAAGCATGACCCAATGCCAAAAACCATTTTATAACCCAAAACAGCTTCAAAGGCCTGGTTTGTAATCCAAATCCCTTTCTTCTTCTTCTTCTTCCATTGGCTTCTTCCGAGACCCAAAATCATTCGCTCTAGTGAAAACAGAAAACAGATGGGACCCTTGTTTTTGGTTTGGAACAGCTGGAGAAGACAGAGCTCCAGAATTCATGACCTCCAACCCCCCCAGCATCAATTAGTGGGATCCGGGAACAACGAGGCGCCCTGTTCCCAGGAGAGGAAAGCAAGGGTTAGAATAGAAGTGGAGCGGAGTCCGCTAGCTATATTCTTTTGCTTCGACTTCACATCTATCGTCATGACGGTATCTCCCTGGGGAAGAGCGAAAAGCCCAGCTTGTTGGAAACACGAGTTCCATTCTTGGTTTGATTAACAACCGATGACTCGGAGCCAATGGGCTGTTCCTTGGCTGACGCGCTGGCTTT